TTTGCATATCTTTAATTAACATTATTATAAAATGATTTACATCAACACTGGGTAATAAGAATTCTTTAAAAAGAATTTTCTCATGTGGACAATAAAGCAAATTTGCATTTGATTATAAAAATTGAGGATAAAAAGAGTGTTTAATAAGCATAACACACATAAGAAACTGATAAAAATAAAATGAATACAATATAATTTCATTTATGAATAATGATGCAAAAATCCCAAATAAAAATAATATCAAACAGCAAAATAAAAGACTACATTAAGTGGGGTTCATTTCAGTAATTCAAGAACAGAACTCTATTAATGTGTTGTTAATTGAAAAACTGAAAAACATGATATATTCAGATGCTGAAAAGAAAATGATAAAATTTGACACTTTGTTTTTGAATAAAAAAATTGTTAAAAATCATATATACTTTTGTAACATGATAAAATATGATATCCTTAACCCAAAAAAAATGAATAATGGGGAAACCATTGACTTTGTAGTCAGGAACAAAGTAACTATCATGTTATCATCACTATATTTAACATGGCTTTGGAGGTACTAACCAATGTACTCATGCAAGAGAAATGAATGAGGCATAAAAACTGGAAAGAAGCAAAATTTACAGTTGTTTGTTGATAAATATGGTTATTCACCCCAGAAATTCAAGGGAATGAAGTAAAACAACTATTACAAACAGTTGGGAAATTGAGTAATGTGGCTTAATATATAATTATAATATATAATTATAATTATATATATAATTCTTCACAATCAAACAAACTATACTGAGGAGAAGACTCTATTTACAATAGAAGCAAAATTGAGAAAACATCAGAATTTCAACAAGACGTACCTTTTGTCTTTTGTACTTTATTCATATGTTATGTAATAAAAATAAAAGGGCTGGACTAGAGGTGTGGCTCAGGGGTAGATCATGTGCTTAGTTAGCATGCACGGGGCCCTGGGTTTGATTCCCAGTGCCACCAAATGTAAACGCTAAAAAGTAAAGGGGTCTGTGAATAACTTGAATTCTGGGAGGCCCTGAGACATTAAATTTACTGTGCTGAGAATCACCCAGTAGGCAGCAAACTCAAGAAATGTTCCCTCTCACCCTGGGCTGAAGTGACCTGGATCTCCATCTACAGGCCTCATGGGCCTGGCCAGTCAAGGCCCACTCCTCTCTATCTTGGGTAGTGGGCTTGACTATGATGTTCTGGAAGTCCTTCACCCAAGGCCCATCTTCCTCAAAGGCCTTCCATCCCAATTATCTTCATGAAAATGCTCAATCCCCTAAGGGGGGTAAAGCCGGCCAGAGGTCAGTGATCAGAAGTCTGGCAAACTGCTAAAATGTCTGCCTCTCCTACTTTGAAGTTTAAAAAAGCAAAATGACTGCTCACAATCTGTAAGTCAGAAAACTTTGGTACATTTCTTAGTCTGTTTATGTTGCTACAACAAAGTACCACAGACTCAGTAATTTATAAAGAACAGAAAATCATTTCACACTGTTCTGAAGACTGGGAGTCCAAGGTCAAGGCCCCAGTAGGGCTGCTGGCCCCCTGGTGCTGCATCCTCCAGAGGGGATGAACATCAGCTTTGTCCTCACATGGCAGAAGGAAACAGGGCAAAAGAGATGCCTAATCCCACTCATGAGTCTTCTCATGAATTTTAGAGGAGACACAACCATTCACGTCATAACAGAGGGGAGCCCAAGGGAGAAGCTCATGCTGCTTTGCTATCTCAATGGGATGGATCAAGAAGAATGGGGGTCTAGGAGGGATAGCTGAAAACTTGGGGTGAAGAGTGAGGGGGGGACAAACTTTACCAAGGCCTGTCATCGTCCAAGTTCACTCCTGATCTAGGTGACCCTTTGGGTTTTGGGCTTTTATGGATCTTCTCATAAACAGTGTGGACTGCTGGAGTCGGCTTGGGGGTCTGTACAAGGCAGATGTCCAGGTTATCCTACAATTCAAATGGGGGTGAGAAGGGGGCTGGGTTTGCTTCTCAGAACCAGATACAAGAGCCAGTCAAGCGACATCTCTGTGGGCTTCTCCACCAGTGGGGAGTTCTGCCTCTCAACCCTGATAACACCCCAAAATGCAGCTTCACTCAGGCCCTCTCTTGAATGCCACTTGCTTGCTCTGTCTCCACCGGGATGCTTCCTGTGTCCCTGACCACCAGCCACCTCCACACTGCTCAATCGCCCCCTCGGTTCCTCTGGGGCTTTCTTCTCTGCTCAGTGACAATGGAGACCCTGCCGTCACCACCTTCCCTGCTTTGTTCCTTAGCATTTATCATCGCCCAACATTCCACACTTCGCCTATTTATTTTATTTGCCATTCTCACCCCACCCCCATGTCGGAAGCCACCCATGAAATGCGCGTGGCCCAGATCGGCATGGTGGCCACTGAATGGGAAAACCTGGTGTCTGGGAATCCCTGCTAGTGAGACTGCCCAGATACACCTGAGCTCCTATTCAGCTTGGCCAGGTCCACACAGCACCGGAGATGTAGCCACACAGCCTCCCAGAGATGTGTGTGGCTTATCAAGATTCCAAGACACCAGAGGCAAGACTCTACCCACTGAACCCTTATCCCTGCCTTTGATGCACCCCCTAAAAGAAAGACCCGATCCATTTTCTGGCAGTTCTGTTCCAGCTCCCAACCAGGACTGGAAGAATCTATCAGGCACTCCCTTTAAACTACTTTTCTGACTTTGTCTCTTATTTCTTCGCTAATTACTTCACACTATATTTTTTTCAGGGGCTTATCCCTTTCTGAGCAGGAAAAATTATCCCTGCGAGGTGTCGGCACCCTGTGATACCCTCACTCTCACTAGAATGCAGATTCTCTGAGGGGAAGGACTTTCATTGCTTTGGTGACTCCTTCAACCCACATTAGAACGGTTCTAGGAACACCTTAGGCACTCAATAAATAATTGTTGAACAAATTTGTAAATCACACTGACTACTCTCAAGGAAAAGTATCAGCTCAGTGTCAGGCATTATTTTTGCAATCCACACTTTTTAAAAGAAGAAACTGAGGTCCAGGGAAGCAAAGTAACATTTCTACGGTTAAACGAAGTCAGTGTCCAAGCTGGGTTTCATGCCCCTCTCTGCTGACTCTGCTCCTTCATGTCCCACTCTGTGTTCGTTCCCCTGTGTCCTGGAGGGCATTCATTTTTCCTAGAGGGCAGAGCTCCCCAAGGCCAGGAACTGAGGTGACTGCAGGATAGGGCTAAGAACTGGAATTGGATGTCACCTGATTTGGCTTTCTCCCCCCAAAGCCATTAGTGCCCCTCTCCTGTGGTGCTCTGGTAGTGGAGGACCGGGGCTTAGGTGGGAAGGAACTATTTCCTGAGTCCCCGAAGGCCAAAAGTCAAGTGGAGATATAACTCAGAAGGGCTGAGAAGGGAAGCAATTGTGACAGACACTGAGGCAGTTGGGGCCAGTGGACAAGCACTGGGCTAGCAGAGAGGAGACCCCTGTTCTGCCTTGTCCTGCCATGGTCCTCTGGATAAGTCCAGTGATCTTTCGGGGTTCCCACACTCTCCAATATAAGTTGCTGGGACTGGACCAAGGAATTTCTGGGTCTCAAAGATCTCGAGTCATTCGCTCCTTAGAGAAGTCAGAGGATGGGCGGGGAGAGGAGCCAGCCCCTCGCTACCCCTGGGGTGCAGACTGCAGCTCCACTAGCTGTCCCTACTCACCCCTTAGCCCAGTGTTTCTCAAGGTGTGAGACCAGGAGTATCAGTGTCACCTGGGAGCTTGGTAGAAATGGAAATTTCGAGGTCTACCCCAGACCCACTGAATCAGAAACTCAGGAGTCCATTCTGCCAAACCCTCCAGAGAATTCTGCCACCAACTCAAGTTTGAGAATCACTGCTTCTGGGGATTCCCCTCAGGGCCCTCTCCTTCCCTGGCTCAACCTGTCTCCCATCTTCTCCTAGGTGGAGTCGCTCCATCTGAGACCACGGCACCAACTTCCAACTGTGGGCCAGTGGCCAACAAGGTGCCCGCCCAGGGGTACTTCATCAGTGGGGACAGCATACGCAAAGGGGTGGCATCTATGGTGGGATCTCAGGCAGGGAGAAGAGGGACAGGGGTCAGAAGAAGGTGGCTCCTCAAACCCTTGTGCTCACCCTGCCTTCGGGCCCTGCTGGGACCCTGCTTTTACTTCCTCTGGGTCTTGAGCTGACGGCAGAGTCCCACCAAAGCCTCGACCATTTACACTCGGGCCTCTCCTCTGGCCTGCATTTCAGCCTGTGGGTGAAGAGCTCCTCCAGGGTTCTAGGACAACTTGCTCACTGCCAGGCTGTGTGTCCTTGAGTCAGTCACCTCCCTTGGCCTCCCTCTCCTCGTCACTGGCAGTGAGAATCTGAGGCAACCATACCATGGATGTGGAGATGTATGTGCACCACAGCTCCCAGCATGCTGTGGGCCCTCAGACATGCAGCCACATTGTTCCAGGCAGGGAACAGACCCAGAGCCTGACAGTGGGACAGAGTGTCCTGGACATCCTGGGACTCCCGCCTCTGAGTACATGTCAGCTGCCCTAATTCAATTCCCTTAGACTCACCTCAGTGGGCCTCAGGGGGCTGATCTCTGCATAGGGAAGGTCGTGGCTGTCAAGTCCACCAATCTGCGGGTCATCAGAGCCTGCTCTAGGAGGGGCTTGGGGAACAGTTGCTGTCATTGAAAGTGTGCAATTGAGTGATCCCTCACCAGGCCCGGGGCAAGCTCATTGTTCCCAGGCTGTAAAATCGGGGCCCAAACCCTGTCTTGTTCCTGCCACCCTTGGCCCTTCCTCACTGGGCATGCACCACCTCCCACCCTCAGCTCTGCTCCACCCCAGCTGCTGCCAGGAAAGTGCCTCTCTCTGCCCATGGACTTCCCAGGCTGCCAACTGTCTCTAGGGCCGCCTGCATCCACTGCCGCTCCCCAGCACCCCCATCCCTCAGTGTCTCCCAGCTTCTACCTCTCTCAGTCTCCATCTTCTTTCTCTTCCAGATCCACACTCCAGCCCCCAGACTCACCACCAGAACCATGATAAGAACTCCTCTCCAAAGCCATTTGCTCTGAAAAGAACCTGAGGTCAAGGACAACCAGGTGTCAGATCTGTTTCAACCAGGAGTGGAAGCCAGGGAGAGGATGGGGGAAAACATGACCACCCAGGCTCCATCTGTCTCCCGGGGCCCAACTTTGCTGCAACCCGAAAGAATGTCCTTTCTCGTACTCTGTCCAGTGAGTGGCCAGTGACTCTTTCATTTTTCTGCTTCCAAGTCTTCTGTCCAATCGCGGCCAAACCTCAGAGGCTTCCTCTACCTAGAGTGGCCATGTACATCCTGGCCTCTCTTTTCTCCTTGCAGACCTCCAGAAGGAAGGTATATGGCAAGAGGGAGGGGGTGGAAGGATCTGGATCTACACACCTCAGAGCATGTTGTCCTTTGGGTCTGTGATGAATTTTTTAGACTATCACAAAAACACTCCTATTCATCCTTCAAGGCCCAGCTCAGTTGTTCTCTGTCAGACCTTCCCCAACTCCTAAGAAGTTTCTCAGTTTATTTTTTATTTCCTTGAACCACTCTTTATATTTGCCTCAACTTCAGCATTTAACATCTGGCTTTCTATTTAGAAACAAGCCAGGTGCAGTGGCACATGCCTGTAATCTCAGCAACTCGGGGGGCTGAGGCAGGAGGATCACAAGTTCAAAATCAGCCTGAGAACTTAATGAGACCCTGTCTCTCAAAATTAAAAAATAAAAATGGCTGAGGATGTAGCTCAGTGGTAAAGCACCCCTGGGTTCAATCTTTGGTAAAAAGAAGAAGAAGGAGGAGGAGGAGGAGGAGGAGGAGGAGGAGGAGGAGAAAAAGAAGAAAATATTCATATATGTGTTTGTGTACTTAGAAATTTCTTCTTCCTCATTTTAGTATGTATTATCTAATAATTATTGATTGATAGGTTTACATATATTACCTCTTTCAAATCTCACAACAATAACTGTGGAGTAGGTAAAAATATTAGCCATCTTATAAATAGAAAGGCTTAAAAATTATGTAATATATCCATGGTCACACAGCCAGGATGTGTCAATGTCCCCCGAGGGAACTGCACTGTCCTTAGGGAGAAGGGGCTTATCTTGTTTTTCACATGCACCATCCACTCAACATATAGTATGTGCTCAGTGCAAGTCTGTGGATTGAATCTAAGTGGAGGAGTAAGAAATGACAAAGAAGAGATGTGAAGTCCCCCGAGGGAACAGGCAGAGTCAGGAAGACAAGGATTGAACAGGGTAGTGACTGATAATCATACCTCCTTTTGCACAACCACTGCCCCTACTGTACAATTCTGGGAAGGTGGGAGGGTTGGTCTTTATGAAACATGGCTCCTTTATAAGAGCTAACACACCTTGAAGGCCTTTTATACAGCCCAGGTGAGCCCGAAGGCTGACTCGGGGAAATGTACTAGTTGGTCATGGTGGCTGCAGTGTTCATACTGTCCAGAGGGGGCTGACAGTGGCTTACATAGTCAGAGATGTTAAACATCCTCCAAGGAGATGTCTGGGGTGCATAAAAAAACAAAATCCAGGCATCTATCAATCTGAATGGATCATGCATGTCCAGGCCATGCAGCGAACCACCCTGACCTGAGGATGGGGGACAGAACATTCCAGGCCTGGGGGTGGGGGATGGGCACTGAGGGTTCACCTACTCCTTGAGTCCTCCCCCTACCTTGCTTGGATTCTGATGACTAATTCAGCCTCCCAGTCTCTATGATACTGGGAACTGGGATGCCCACATGCCAGCCTGTTGGGGTTTAGATGTGGTGTCCCCTAAAAGCTCACGTGTGAGACAATGCAAGGTTTGGTGGAGAAATGATTGGGTCATAGTGTTAATCTAACGAGAGAATTGATTCCTGATGGGACTAACTGAGTGGTGACTGGAGGCAGGTGGGGTGTGGTGAAGGAAGTGGTTCATTAGGGGTGTGGCTATGGGGTATATGTTTTGTATCTGAAGAACTGAGTCTCTCTGTCTCCTAATCATCATGTGAGCTGCTTCCCTCTGCCACACTCTTCTGCCATGATGTTCAACCTCACCTGGAGCCCTGTGGACTGGCTGTATAGGAACTAAGACCTGTGAAACCGTGAGCCCTTAGATAAACCTTTTCTCCTCTACAGTTGTTCTGGTTGGGTCTTTCAGTCACAGCAGTGAAAAAGCAACTAAAACAGTCCTGTATGTAAGTACCGGGGATGCTGCAGTCTCCATACACTGGCCCAACTCCTGGACTTGCAGATTTGAAGACCTTCATGAGAATGTGGTTGTTCACTGAAGTGGGGATCTTCAGGTTGTACCAAGTGAACTCCTCAGTCCCATCACTGTCCTGAGTCCTCCCCAACTTGGTACCCATCCCCATTCACTGCCATCCCATTTCCATCACCCCTCCTGGGAGACCACACTCACCCCTCTGTGGGCAGATGCTCCCCAGGTCTACGGTTGCATTCTTCTGGTCTGCAGAGTTGCTGACCACACAGGTGAGATGGCCATGTGACTGACTCAGGGGCAGGCTCAGGCTGAGATTCCTAGAGTTGGAGGCAGCTGACAGTGTCCCTCTCTGCTCCAGCTCCCTGGGAAAGCCGTTGCTCAACCAGGTCACTGTCAAGTTCTCTGTGGTCTCTGGGGTCCCACACTCCAGACTGACATTGCACCAGCCTGGTGTGTTGGATAATGAATGAATCCGAATTTGGGGTTCAGGGATGGGCTCTGGAATAAGAAGGAACAAAAGAGAAACATCTTCAGAACTGGAGGCTCACCCTAGTACATCAGCCATTCTCCCTAGGTGATACAGCAGTGAGATGTTGCCAGTTTTCTAAATGCAGGCCTGGGGAAGGAGCCTACCCCTCACCACACTCCCCAGTGGTTCTGACTCCCAGGCCACAGGCAGATGGCTGAAGCCTTTTCTGCTCAGAGAGGGGACCTAAAGCTCCTCATCATCCATCTAATCCAAGGAGCAAGGTGAGGATCACTTCCTGGACCTTTCCCAGGCTGCCCTGGTCCTCACCATTGTCCCATGATTCTTAAGTTCCTTAAAGTCACCCTGCTCAGGTATTTTCCATGACCTTTATAAGAAAATGGACTTGAAACTAGAATTTTATACTCTACTCACCTAGCATTGAATTACAAGGGCAGACAAAGACACTTTAGGTCACTCAAGTGCTTTGAAAGCTAATCACCTCTTTTAAAGGAATTCAACAATATGCAGGGGAAAAATGCAAAATGAATTTAAGAATAAAAGAAACAGGATACAGCAGTGATCAAAGAGCAAGACCTATAGTCAAATCTAGATAATTCAGTAAACATCACATATGATTATCATTGCGTAAATATATACACACATGTGAGTATTATATGTACATATAAATGTGTATGTATGTATATAATAGATATTCATAAGATAGGGGAGTTGCAAATACAATGGAAAAACATGATAAAGTTCTTGTTTTGTTCAGAGGGAAAAAATATGCTGATTAACTTTAAATGCTGAAGTAAAATCTTAAGTTTAGTAACCAATAGGATTAAAGTACAGGAGAATTATGTTATCAATCTAACAAAAGCAAAAAAAAAGTTATGTTAAACAGAAAATATTAAATAAGATGTCAAGAGCAAATTCATACATGTGAAATATTGAAGTACACTTACATGCATTAGCACCCACTATTAAAATAAGGCCAAGACACTCAGATTGGGTAAACCTAGTGTGCTCTTTATACTATCTAATGACATAAAAATATTAAAAAGAAAAATATGAAAAAAAGACCAGAAAAAATATCAATAACATAATAGTAAATGTGGCAACAATTACTGCAAACTGCAAACAATATAAGATTTGGAAACACAACAAATGGGCCAAACAGAGAGATTAAAGTACAGGGTAATTCTGTTGTCAATTCAACAACAACAAAAAAAAAGTATGTTAAATAAAAAACTTTTTTTGTTTTTGTTGGATTAATAACAGAATTACCCTTGTCTTTAATCCTATTAGTTACTAAACTTATTATAGTTATTATGTATCTAACAACACAGTATAAGAATGTATAAATGTTACAAAACAAACTAATGGAAGTTCAAGAATAAATTATTGACTCCCCCACTATTTTGGTGGACAGATCAGGTTGGAGGGGAGGATGTCATACAGGTAGAAACAAACATTAGTGGCCAGGTGTCCAGTCCAGGTGGCTCTGCCCACATTCAGGCCCAGCCCACATTCCATCCCTGCCTCCCTCCATCTGCTGTCCAGAGTGGCAGAGCTACATTCTCAGTCTCTCAAATCTTCTTGCCATCGCAGTCTTGACCAATGAAGTCAAGCGGGGATTTGGTGGAGGGAAGGACAGGTCTTCATTCCTGAGGAGACAAAGCCTCAAAATGAGAAAGAATCCCCCCCATCCCCACCCTTCTCTTTCGCTGCCTTGATTGCAGAACAGCATTTGGATAACAGCCATCCTGGAGCCGGCAGACCACAGCACAGGATCTATAAGACCTGGGCGCCTAGGACGGCAGAGCGGACAGAGCCAGCCCAGGTCCCCAGCGAGAAAGCTGAGCGCTAGCCAATGCCAGCAAGTGCTGTCCCCTGCTCCCTGTTATATGAGAAACATAAATCCAACTCAGTAAGCCTTTGAAAATCAAGTTTTATTCTAACTGTTATCAAGCATATGCCTAAAGGACAATTAAAAAAAGAGCTATTAAATCAGCAACACCAAAATCTAATTTTTAAAAAAATGACCCATCAAAAGAAAAAATATTGATTCCTATGACTAAAACATTTAAGCCATAAGTAAGTGATACTAGGAATGAGAATTGGAGCATAACTACAAACATAAAAAGTGTTTTCCATATATATATATATATATATATATATATATATAGAGAGATAGAGAGAGAGAGAGAGAGAGAGAGAGAAAGGCAGGCACAGGCCCACATCTATAACCCCAGCTACTTGGGAGGCTGAGGCAAGAGAATCCCATTCAAGGCCAACCTCAGAAACTTTGCAAGATGCTTCCTCAAAAAAAAGTGGGGGGGCTGGGTATGTAGTTTCTATAGTTCAGTGGTAGAGCACCCTGGGGTTCAATGGCCTGTATTTCTAAAGAAAGGGTGGGGGAGTAAGAGGAGGAAGGGGAGACCAAGGAGGAGGAGGAAAAGATCATGATGAAGGAGAGGAAGATGAGAAGAAAGGAGGAGGTGGAGAG